CCCCCCCCCCCCCCCCCCCAGCAGCCTTTGTATGTATTAACAACGCTAGCAAATAGACTCATAGACTTTAAGGTCAGAAGGGATCAATATGGTCATCTAGTCTGACCTCCTGCATGATGCAGGCCACAAAAGCTGACCCACCCACTTTCCCTTAACTCAGCTGTTGAAGTCTCCAGATCGTGATTTAAAGACTTCAAGTCGCAGAGAATCCTCCAGCTTGCGACCCCCTGCCCCGTGCTGTGGAGGAAGGCGAAAAACCTCCAGGGCCTCTGCCAATCTACTCTGGAGGAAAATTCCTTCCCGACCCCAAATATGGCGATCAGTAGAACCCCGAGCATATAGGCAAGATTCTCCAGCCGGACCCTCATTTTACCAGCGATGGCACGTTATTGCCTAATTGACTAAAATCCCATTATACCATTCCCTCCATAAACTTATCTAGCCTAATCTTGAAGCCAGAGAGGTCTTTTGCCCCCACCGTTTCCCTCGGAAGGCTGTTCCAAAATTTCACCCCTCTGATGGTTAGAAACCTTCGTCTAATTTCAAGCCTAAACTTCCCCACGGCCAGTTTATATCCATTTGTTCTTGTGTCCACATTAGTACTGAGCTGAAATAATTCCTCTCCCTCCCTGGTATTTATCCCTCTGATATATTTAAAGAGAGCAATCATATCCCCGCCTCCTTTTGGTTAGGCTAAACAAACGGAGCTCCTCGAGTCTCCCTTCATCCGAAAGGTTTTCCATTCCTCGGATCATCCTAGTGGCCCTTCTCTGTACCCGTTCCAGTTTGAGTTCATCCTTTTTAAACATAGGAGACCAGAACGGCACACAGTACTCCAAATGAGGTCTCACCAGCGCCTTGTATAACGGAAGCAGCACCTCCTTGTCCCTACTAGAAATACCTCGCCTAATACATCCCAAGATTGCATTAGCTTTTTTCATGGCCACGTCACATTGCCGACTCATAGTCATCCTGCGGTCAACCAGGCCTCCGAGGTCCTTCTCCTCCTCCGTCACTTCCAACCGATGCGTCCCCAGCTTATAATTAAAATTCTTGTTAGTCATCCCTAAATGCATCACCTTACACTTCTCACTTTTAAATTTCATCCTGTTACTATTACTCCAATTTACAAGGTCATCCAAGTCTCCCTGCAGGATATCCCGATCCTTCTCCGAATTGGCAATACCTCCCAACTTTGTGTCATCAGCAAACTTTATCAGCCCACTCCTACATTCGGTTCCGAGGTCAGTAGTAAATAGATTAAATAAACTCGGACCCAAAACCGAACCTTGAGGAACCCCACTGGTGACCTCCCTCCAACCTGACAGTTCACCTTTCAGTACTACACGCTGCAGTCTCCCCTTTAACCAGTTCTTTATCCACCTCTGGATTTTCCTATCGATCCCAATCTTTTCCAATTTAACCAATAATTCCTCATGCGGTAGCGTATCAAACGCTTTACTAAAATCGAGGTATATTAGATCCACCGCATTTCCTTTATCTAGAAGGTCTGTTACTTTCTCAAAGAAGGAGATCAGGTTGGTTTGGCACGATCTGCCTTTCGTAAACCCATGTTGTAATTTGTCCCAATTGCCATTCACCTCTAGGTCCTTAACTACTTTCTCCTTCAAAAATTTTTCCAAGACCTTGCATACTACAGATGTTAAACTAACAGGCCTGTAGTTACCCGGGTCACTTTTTTTCCCTTTCTTGAAAATAGGAACCACATTAGCTATTTTCCAGTCCAACGGTACCACCCCCGAGTTTACAGATTCATTAAAAATTACCGCTAAGGGGCTTGCAATTTCTCGTGCCAGTTCCTTCAGTATTCTAGGATGAAGATCATCCGGTCCGCCCGATTTAGTCCCGTTTAGCTGTTCAAGTTTGGCTTCCACCTCTGATACGGTAATGTCAATCCCCCCTCCTATATTCCCCTCTGTCCTGCTGCCTCTATTCCTAAGCCCTTCATTAGCCTTATTAAAGACCGATGCAAAATATTCATTTAGATATTGTGCCATGCCTAGATTATCCTTAATCTCCACTCCATCTACATTCTTCAGCGGTCCCACTTCCTCTTTCTTTGTTTTCTTCCTATTTATATGGCTATAAAACCTCTTACTATTGGTTTTAATTCCCCTCACGAGGTCCAACTCTACACGGCTTTTGGCCTTTCTCACTGCATCCCTACATGCTCTGACCTCCATAAGGTAGGTTTCCTTGCTGATCCCTCCCCTCTTCCATTCTTTGTACGCTTTCTGTTTATTCTTAATCGCCCCTCTGAGACGCCCGCTCATCCAGCTAGCTCTAAATCTCCTGCCTACTAACCGTTTTCCCTTTCTCGGGAATGAACAACTAGCTGGTGCCAATGGGAGTCTAATTCAGTTATCTGGCTAAAAAGATGATCCTGGAAATGCAGCAGACACGCTAGAGTGGAGAGAAAAGAGGACTCTTCAGATCTTCAAAGAACTACACTAGCTTGCTTTTTAAAAAGGAAGTTTATAACTTGATCTGAATGTTGTGACATGGTTGAGGAGGAAAAGCTTCCATGGAAAGTAAACTATCCACTCTTGGGCTTAACCTAAAGCATGGAGCCCGGCCTTCCCAAAAGCACTCTCCCCATCTCCAAAACTGCCAATCTTATAGCCCTTCCCCAGAGCACCTGTGCAAGAGGAGGAATTGCAGAGGTATCTTTAGATAAAGTTTTAAATATATTAGCTCTTCTGAATTACCTGAACATGGGGAAGAAAGGTTCAGATGCCTTTTTGCTCATGCATAACTTAAACAACTTTATTTTTAATTTCTAAACTGGTGCATGTTTAATTTTGAATTGCATAGCCTTGTACATTTTGGCTCTAGAAAGCTATGCAAGTTTAAAATTTGTGTTTTGTACAGGAGCTTGCATGTTTCCTATGGAAACTTTCAGTTATTTATTTTTCAGTAACTTAATGATGAGACAAAATGCATATTTTTCGGGTAAACGTTAAAAATCAGCAATACTTCCACCCTTTAATTTTATTTAAGTTATATGTTGACACAGAACACCTAAGAATCTTAAGAAATGCTAAAGTGAAGACTTCCACTAAAAACATTTGTAGATGCCATGAGGAAGAAAAACTAACTTTAAAGAAGCAATTCAGTTCACTTTTAAGATTCTAAACCATTAACAGAATGTGTAAAGTCACCAGCTCTTGCCAGATGAGCACAGAAGATTGAATCCAGGCCTTGGTAGAGTGTACTCCATTAAATTTAACTTTTTTAAGTCTTCCCATGTGGTGGTGTAATTTAGAATCTTAAACTATTTTTGTAATTTTTTAAAAATTCAATTCTTTAGTCTTGTTTGTGATATCAGATTCAGAAAGACTAGCTGCATTCTTTTGAACTGGTTTCAAACCTAGTTCAGTAAAATAAAATGAAATTGAGTCTCTTTCAAATGCAAACTTAAAATAAAAGCTATAAGAGATTAAGATAATTTGTAAAAGCTTCATTAAAACAACTTGACTGATGTAGTTTGACTATTATCCAAGCCTATTTCTGTTAATTATTGTACTTTAAAAAAATCATTACTGTAGTCAGTAGATATGTATTTAACACATGCTCTTTCAATTTCCTCTTACCTGTATTTGTTCAGAATTTGGTCGTCCTACTGGGTGGGTTTGTTTGTTAAATCAGGTATAATTTAAAACAATAATGGAACTTTCTTTTAGTCTTTCTCATTAGAGTTCCACTTCGAGCCCAATGACTACTTTACTAATTCAGTCCTGACAAAAACCTACAAGATGAAGTCAGAGCCAGACAAGACTGATCCCTTTTCATTTGAAGGCCCTGAAATAGTTGATTGTGAGGGGTAAGGAAAATCTGTGTTTTTTAAAAATATTTTTGGAGCTTCTAGTCTGTATTCTCCAGGACTCTTATTTTCTTTATCTTGGTAATGGTTGATACTAGGAAAAAGTCTTGTGGATGAAAGCATGAAGCTGGTAGTATAGATGGTGAACTCTAACAGTTTTATTCTGTGCAGATGGAATATAATATGCATTTAAAACTGCCCCTCCAGTTCAAGGGATTAGTAGTGAGGATACAAGTCTTTCAAATTCAGTCCAGGTAGGTAGAGGCTAAAAGTTGTTTTGGTTCAAAGTTAATGGCTGGTCTCAGTCTAGTCCTTATTGGGCATTTGCCTGCCTCAAAACCCTACCATCACAATTGGCATTAAATTAGCATTCTTGAAGTTCAGCAAAAAAAATTTCAATAGTCACTTGTAGGCCTGGCAGAATTTGATTTTTATATATTTAAAAAAAATTGGATATTAGTATTTATTTTTAAGCATCTTTTCCTGATCTTTATGAATTTAAATTTTTGGTTGTTGGAAATTATGGGGGGGATCAGACAATGTGGGGGGGCCAGACAATAAGTTAACGACAGTATATGCTGAGGTTCAAAAAGTTAAAGCTTTATAACCATTAATGCAAAAATTATCAGTGTCAAAATACACTAATTAAAAACCCTTAAGTCCAACTCTGAGTTCTCAAGCAGCATTTTCTTACTTTGGCTATCTGTAAATTTGTTATCAATGGCAATATTTTTTTTTTGTCGGTTTGTGTGTGCGGCAAAATTGACATTTACCAATAAAAATGTAATCCGTCCAAACCTAGTCATGTATATGAGCTATCCTCGGAGTCTTCTTTGAGATGGTCCCTGGAAGATTGAGGTGTGTTGACAAGTGTGCTGAAACCAAGGCACCCTGCCAACATGCCTGAAGTGTTCAGAATATTGCAAGCAAACGTATTTGGAAACAGTTGATGAAGGGTTCCCTGGTGAAAATTAAGAGAAAGTAAGAGGGACACTTTATGCCAGTGGTTAGGGCATCTACATGGGAGGTGGAAGATCCTGGGTCTAGGCCTCTGGCTCCAACTACTCTTTCATTATTTATTCAGAGTGCAACATCTTCAACAGGAAGCTGTCATATCAGAATATCCCGTAGTTCAATGGCTAGAGCACTCTCGTGAGAGGTGTGAGACCCCTCTTTTCAGATCCTTTTTCCCACTCTGGTAGAAAGTGGGGAATTGAAGTGGGTCTCACATCCCAGGTGAGTGCTCTTATCTGCTGACCTAAAAGTTATAAGGGGGCACCACTCCCTCCTCGTCATCCTGCAGCTGGATTTTGAATGGGGCCCAATCTGGTAGGTGACATCTGAGCTTGCCTACTGGATCAGGCCCTACACATGACTTAAGCAACTGAACACCTGTCTTCCCCTGTTTGTGAATCATTCTGGGACTTAGGTGGGACCTAGGTCTGGATACCTAAAGGAAGACAGCAGTGTGCATGCTCACAGGCAGGAATATATGCAGTAGGGAACTTTTGACTCTGAAAAACATAGGCACTGAATCAGCTTAGGTGCCTATAGGATTTGATGGCAGTTTTGTGGATTGCAGTGGAGCCAAAAGTGGAACTTGGTGGGAGACTAGGTGTCTAAGGCTATGTCTACACTACCTAGGGATCAGTGCTGCTGCGATCGATGCACTGGGGGTTGACTTAGTGGGTCTAGTGAAAACCCGCTAAATCGACGGCAGAGCACTCTCCAGTCGACTCCAGTACTCCACTGGGAACGAAGGGGAATGTAAGGTAAGTCGACGGCAGAGCGTCTCCAATCTACCCAGTGCAGTGTAGACACCACAGTAAGTCGACCTAAGCTACATCGACTCTCACTACTCCAGCTACGAGAATAACGTAGCTGAACTTAGGTCGACTTACCACGGTAGTGTAGACATAGCCAAAGTCAGGGGTTTAGGTGCCTAAGTACATTCATGGATCCCATGCTTAGTTACTGGGATCAGTAGAGCAAGAAATCAATTGTTCATTGACCCCATCCATGTAATAGCAAATTATCAAATTGTTCTGACATCTGTGGAACAAGATGTTTTTGGCCACTGAACTGTTGGCTGAGTGTGCCAAGCAGCCTCCTTTAATTAAGGGTTTGTTTCAGTTAGGACAGAACTTTTTACGCTGCAGCTCATTCAGTGGCACCAGTAGTCATGACTAAACTTGGTCTAGATATAGTCTCTCAGTTGAGGCGCAGTGAGAACCAAGTCAGGTGACATTCTGGCAGCAAGGACCTGAACAGCAAGCAGTTTCTCGTTTAGCATATGTTGGGCTCAATTCATTGGTCGTTTAGTCCAAGCTGTGCTCTGCACACGACTAGGCAGGGGACTGTAAAGATGGCTGTCTCTCCTTCACAGTTCCCTGATTCTTAGGGTATTGGGACTACTCTGATCCCTGGTATTAGCAGATATTGAACTGTCTTTTAATTTATGCTTGGCTGCCTGCAGCTCAAAGAGGATGTGCCAGGAGCATAGTGACACTGGCCATGTCCCCACTTCCCCACCTACGGATTCCCTGACGAAAAGGAAATCTTACCTGGCCAGATGCAGAAAGTTTATAGCCTCTTTTCATTGACAGAATTGTGCAAAAGGGTGTTAACAGATCATTTGGCTCCTGCATTTAAGAAAATATTGGTTTGTACATTAAACATTAGTCCTTGTAACTACAACATTAATAAGTTCAATATGTTCAAAATAGGTTTAGCATTTTGTAAAGCAGTCTCAATTATCTAGAACTGCAAACAATCGGCCTTGATTTTTTTTATTGCACTACATGCCTTGTTTCCTCTCCTCCCCCCCAAATGTCTTTGCATTAAAGCCTTTATTCCTTGTGCTGTCTTTAGGTGTACTATTGAATGGAAGAAAGGAAAAAATGTTACAGTTAAAACAATCAAGAAGAAGCAGAAACACAAGGGTCGAGGCACAGTTCGAACGATTACCAAACAAGTACCCAATGACTCTTTTTTTAACTTCTTCAGCCCCATAAAAGGTAAGCTTGTTTGAGCAGCAAAAAATATCTGGATTTTTGCATAGTTACCCAAACTCTGTTTCTATAAAAGTAGTTTCTTCACCTTGGCTATATTTAGGCTGTTATCTGTAACTTTGCTTTTATGATGTGACTGTTGTAACATATAAACGTCTTCAAATGAGTGGCTAAATCATTCCTAAGCAGTGGGATCTATATTGGGAGAGTTTTAGAGTACTGAAACAGATGGGGTGTTGTCACTCTACTTTTTGACAGTGTAAATATCTGGAGCCTGAAACAAGTGCTATTTATCAGCCCGAAAAAGCTGTTATTTGCTAATAACTAAACTCAGATTTTGCCTTGACTATAACTGTTAAATGAGTTACTCTAGCTATAATCAGCTAATTCTACAGGAAACTATTAGCTGAAGAAGAACAGTATAGACAGGACTCCTTTTGTTAGCATATTGTGGCTGGCCCATGTTTTTAATATTGCTAGTTTAAGGATATTTTACTTTTTACCACAAGGTGGCTCCATACTTCTATTCTAGATGTATTGTGTGAAGCTTTCACATCCAGTCTCAGTTGGTTCAATAGACTGATCTTGCTTAAGCCTTCAGGGTGAACAGGATGTAACTACTGTAATTATGTTAGGGTTTGCTATAGTGCCTATCACTGTATACAAGTGCTAAACTGACCAAATTAAGCAAAATTGCTAATGGACTTCAAGAGGCCTTGTGCTCTTTTCCCTTTTCTGGTTAAGCCCTGTTTGCACCAGGGGGTTTTCTGCAATTATGTTTATCTGCCAGAGAAAGAGAGAAAACACATACCTGTGATTGCAATATCTTTAAAGAATTTTAGTGTAATATGTTATGTTCGTTCCTTTTTGGTCTCTAGTTGATATTTTAGAACACCTATTTGTAGACCTTGAAACCTCTGTAGTAATAGGAGTAATAATTATACCTTACTCTTATATGGGGCTTTTCATCAGTGTATCACATTATGTAGGATGTAAATAGAAATGCCACCAAAAATTTTATTTTCATATAAACATCCACTTTCTGCAAACAAGACAATCACAAGTTGCCTGAGTTGTAGCTGGATTTGGGATGTTGGGGATATAAATATAGTGGGCTAGATTCTTTGGCATGCCAGAGCTCCATAATCTGGAAAGTGGTGCAGATTTAGCATTATGCTACTTTTCTACTTTGACCCTGTGGGTATCCAAAGACCACATTGGCCTCTGTTGCAATTTAGAGAAGCCACAGAGGTGCTAAACTTATGCTGGCTGGAATGGTGCTTTGGAGACCATTTTGCTGACCCCAGGGTTGCTGGAACACACTCCAGCT